CGACGACGAGGCAGACGGTGCAGAGGACGCACAGCAGGACCGAGGCCCCAGGCGCGATAGCAAGGTGGCGCCTGTCGAGAGCCGCAACCCGCCAACGAAACCGAGCCCGAGTCGAAAGCTCGCCGACATGCACCCGCCCGAGTTCATACGACTATCGTCGACGCAAAATGAGGCGAGCAACGAGAGACACGCTGGCCAGTCTGCTGGTCCTCGACCAAACGCGCCATCCTCCGAAGACATTCGCAGCAACGCCAGCCGATCGCCGATATTGCACCACAAGGGGAAGCCTGCGAGTCACCGAGTGCCCTATTTTCGATACTTTGGCCCCACGGCCATAGTCCCCGGCTACAAGCAGATGGTCGTCTCGGTGCGCGAGAGGCGGCGCAGTACCGCAGGTTCTACCTCTGCTGCGTCACCCAGCTCGGCGGGTGCCGCCGCCGCCGCTGCCCAGGGAGGTCTCAGCATAGACAGCGTCGCGTTGGCCGATGCCGAGGTGACCGCCGAGGCTCTACCAGCCTACAACATCAACGATGACGAACCCGTGCCGCCGCTCATTCTCCATCTGGTCAAGATCTTCTTCGTTCACCTGGGCTGCAACTTTCCCTTTCTGCAGGAAGAGAGGTTCACACGGATGGTGGAGGGCAAGGAGGTCGAGGCGATCCTCGTTGACGCCGTGTGCGCTCTGTCGGCGCGGTTCTCGGATCACCCTCAGATCGCGCGGGATGGGAAGCTGCCCAGGTCGGACTACGGCGTCCAGTATGCCCAGCGTGCCAAGGCTGCGACTGTTGACACGTTTCCGGCGCCGTCTGTGGGTGCCGTCCAGGCGCTGCTGATGATGGCCTATGAGGGCTTCGGCGCGAACCAGGACAGTGCCCTCTGGATGTATCTCGGCCTCGCCATTCGCATGGCTGTCGACTTGGGCTTGCAGAAGGTGGTGGGCGTCAAGTACCAAGGCGAGAAGGATCCATGGTACCTCCGCCATTGGAGCCGACAAAGCATCGAGTCCAGCGAGGCTGCGGATGACGAGGCCTCGGTCAGCCGTGCTCAACAACTGGAAGTGGAGCAGGAGAGGATGGACACGTTCTGGGCCGTCTTCATGCTCGACCGGGAGATCTCGTCTGGCACGGGACGCCCGGTGACGTTCCGCGACGATGATTTCGAATTTGACTTGCCAGCACCAACGATACACCCTGCGTCGGGCTGGCCCGCGCCGTACCCAACACTGACACGAATCATTCATCTTTACGGCCGCGTGTCCGACGTTTTGAATAACATCCATCACGCCAAAGATCTGACGCAGGACAAATGGGCCAAGCTGGCACACATGGAGAGCGAGCTCACGAAGCTCTACCAAAACCAGGACCCAAGACTGCATTTCAACGTCAGCAATTTCAAGGCATATCTCAAAGCCAACCAGGGCACGACCTTTATTCTGGTTCATTTCTGGTTTCACGCCCTCATCATCATCCTGCATCAGCCAACATTGCTCACGCCGTTTGGGTCGCTGAACCGGTCCCACCAGCTTTTGCCCAACAGTCGCGAGCTGTCCATGTCGAGCGCCAAGACGATTGCTGACATTCTCTCCTTTGCCGAACTCATCGGGCCCACGAGCTTCATCGGCAACCCCTTTACATCGCAGCCGATGTACATTGCGGCGTGCGCCTTCCTCATGGAATCCATGGCTTACACATCCCAACCACCGTCCAGGGCCACCTCGCCCCCTGAGGGCAACAGGCCCAGGGGCAAACCGAACGACAGCGCCAGGATTTCGGCCAAGCACTCGCTCCTGGCCTCGGCAGCGAACCAGAACTACTTGCGCTGCCATAATTCGCTTCAGCAGCTGTGTGCTTATTGGGGCGGTGTCAAGTACATCTTGACAGCCCTCGACCAAAAGTCCAAGGGCATCTGGGACTGCGAAACGTATACGAACGAGGAGTACGAAAGCACCAAGGGAACACGCCACGGATCGCTGGACCCCTTTTCGGGACTTGAAGGCTTGGGATCGCCGAGTGCGCCTCCCTTTGCCTGGTCCCTGACGGGGACCACCAACTCGCCCAACTCAAGCCTCACACTGATGTACCAGAACATGCAGGCGAATGCCGCCGCTCAGCCCCACGTATCGTCGGCACCGACGAGCCATCACGCCCTCGCGCAGAACAGCCGCTCAACGTCGTCGGGCCACATGTACGACCCCATCCGCCAGAGCATGCCGGAAGCGCCGCCGTCCTCACTCTACGCGCCGTCGTATCGACAGGCAGCAAAGGCAGCGCCCCAACACCAGCAGCAGACTGCACACCCTTCGTACGGAGCCTCGTCGCAACAGACGTCAGATTATGACGGCTCACTGCTCACGGGCACGACTCCGGGATCGGGCCATCACGCATCGGCCAGTATGTATGATTCGGCCTACACGGAGAGGGACTACTCGTATTTCGGGCACCACAGCATGAATCCGATCGGTGACGTTGTTACGTACGAGAACCCCGTCGACATTGGCTCGCTCGGTCTGCCGGGGGACATGATGCCGCAGTGGCTCGAGTACCTTCCTGGCGACGTCCTCGGTGGCTACTTTGACGGGGGCCATGACATGAACGGGGGTACAGACTTGGAGGGAGGCGGCCACCATGGTTAGGTGTTTACTTTGTCTTGGTCATTTTCTGCTTTTTTTTTTCTCCCGTGTCCAAAAAAGGCTTGCAATGTCATCTTTGTACATCATGGCTTGGATATACAGCGTTGTCTGGGCGCTGGCTGGTATGGTTTTTTTTTTCGCATTGGGTACATGTGGATTGTATTACTTAACGGGTCGAGATTCCTGACAGCGACTTACGTAGAGATTATATGAAAGTAAGTCGTAGGGATTCTATGATAGAATAGTTTGTCAGGTTGGTGGGTAATTGACATTGTCGTAATTCGACCCGGCGAGACGTACCCTCCCTCTGTCATCCTCACCTCTTGGCCGAGGGAGGCATGCACGAAGCCTCGGTCACAGTATATCACGACATCGGTGGAAAATGACGTTGCCCGGCCAGCTTCGGATGCTACTGCAGTGCAGAGGGACCAACGAAAGACGCTAAGCCGGGTGCACAGGCATGCCGGGTCATTGACAGTCCGCCGCGCGAGGTTCGAGGTTTATCGGCGTTATCGTCGATGACTAACGGCGCAGAAGGGAGGCGCTCAATGGCGGAAGGGGCGATCGGACGCGCCGGATAGCCCGAGTATTCCCGAGCCAATCTTTTCAGTGGAGCCCCTTGCAGGCTAAGTGGTCACTGCCAGGAAAAGGTCGCCCAGCCGCCGCCAATGCGCCAGCATCAGAAAAAAGGCCTCTCACATTTTTCTCCTGATCGGGGTCACTTCCTGCTCCTTTCCACGAACATCCTTCCTCCAAGCCCATACCATCCACCAGTCTTCAAGGTCACGATCCCCCTCGGTGCGGCATTCGGGATTCCTTCCTTTCCACTCCGACCTTCGATTCATCGTTCAGCTCTCTCTCGTTCTTCGAGGAACACGCACAACATCACAGCTAACCAAGGCTCCCGCACCAACATCCACCCGGCTCGAACAAGATAGAAGCCGTCGTCCAGAAAGGCTGCCGCCGCCGTCCCTGGCACGCCCACCGGCTTTGACCTCTACGCTCGCTTTGCCCTGGCTGGTGCCATTGGCTGCTCCGTCACCCACGGTGCCCTGACGCCCGTCGATGTGTACGTTTTCCCTCTGCTCCCTCGTTGTTGGCCGTGACGCGCACCGGCCGGCGTGCTTGCTCGCAACAGCAGGCCATTGGCTTGGCCTCGCGACGCGACGCCAGCAGCGGTAGCGTCCCTCCCCTCTCTCTGATCACCTCGACTGACACGATGCCACAAAACAGCGTCAAGACCCGTATCCAGCTCGACCCTGCCACCTACAACCGTGGCATGATCGGCAGCTTCAAGCAGGTCATCCAGAACGAGGGCCCCCTCGCCCTCCTCACCGGTTTCGGCCCTACCTTTGCCGGCTACTTCCTTCAGGGCTCCCTGAAGTTCGGCGGTTACGAGTTCTTCAAGCAGCAGAGCATCAACCTGCTCGGCTACGAGACCGCCTCCAACAACCGCACCGCCGTCTACCTCGCCTCCGCCGCCGCCGGCGAGTTCTTCGCTGACATCGCCCTGTGCCCCCTCGAGGCCACTCGTATCCGTCTCGTCTCTGAGCCCACCTACGCCAACGGCCTCATCGGTGGCTTCACCAAGATGGCCAAGCAGGAGGGCTTCGGCGCCTTCTACGCCGGTTTCGGTCCCATCCTGTTCAAGCAGTATGTCCCCCCCCCCTTCACACCTCAGCATGAGACCCGAATTCCAATCAGAAACTGACCCAATCCAGGATCCCCTACACCATGGCCAAGTTCGTTGTCTACGAGAAGGTCGCCGAGGCCATCTTCCGCGCCTACCCCAAGGAGACCCTCTCCTCCGGCCAGCAGACCCAGGTCAACCTCGCCTCCGGTCTCATTGCCGGTCTCGCCGCCGCCGTCGTCTCCCAGCCCGCCGACACCATGCTGTCCAAGATCAACAAGACCAAGGGCGCTCCCGGCCAGGGCACCGTCTCTCGCCTCGTCCAGATTGCCGGCGAGCTCGGCGTCCGCGGCTCCTTCGCCGGTCTCCCCACCCGTCTCTTCATGGTCGGTACTCTCACTGCTGGTCAGTTCGCCCTGTACGGCGATATCAAGAAGGCCTTGGGTGCCACAGGCGGTGTGGAAATTGCGAAATAAACGTGTGTTGGCAGCGTCGGTGGTTGAGTGTAATAGATGTATCAACTTAATGATAGACCAAGTTTTTCTGTTGCAACCAAGCATGACACGTGAGACATGTACAGTCACCGCAGAGCAAACACGACGAAGAGTTAATGACTGTGACTTGACATGAATGTGCAGGCATTCTTGACTAGATACCGGC